CCATAACGGCTTTTTAAAATAATGTGTCCTCTTATGCTTAAAATGAGGATTTCGCTACCAAAAGTGAGGAGAAAGCAACACTACAGCTGCTCTCACCCCTTTCGCCCTTCGGGTGATATTTGTGCTTGGGGCTGCATGCTGGTTCGCGGGCCATCAACGAAGCCCTCTGGGTGGCTCATGCAGTTCCGCCGGCTTCCCAGGGGCCATCTCAGCCTCACAGGGACCATCTCAGCCCCACTGGGACCGTTTCAGCCCCAGTGGGACCGTCTCAGCCTCACAGGGACTGTCTCAGCCTCACAGGGACCGTTTCAGCCTCACTGGGACCGTCTCAGCCTCACAGGACCGTTTCAGCCTCACAGGGGCCGTCTCAGCCTCACTGGGACCGTCTCAGCCTCATAGGGGCCGTTTCAGCCTCACTGGGACATTTTCAGCCCCACTGGGACCGTCTCAGCCCCACAGGGACTGTCTCAGCCTCACAGGGACCGTCTCAGCCTCACAGGGGTCGTTTCAGGCTCACTGGGACCGTCTCAGCCTCACAGGGACCTTCTCAACCCCGCTGGGACAGTCTCAGCCTCACAGGGACCGTCTCAGCCTCAGAGGGACCGTCGCAGCCGTGCAGGAGGCGCCGCAGCCTCGCAGGGGCCGCCGCATTCCACGTTGGGGGTGAAGGTGCGAGTCAGAAGCTCCTCTTGCTGTCTCTCCTGCTGCTCCCTTGCATATCACCGATGCTGGAAGTTTCTGAGAGCCGTCTGCAGGTGCTGGACATCATACTTTAACTGGTCAACACAAAGGTTGGCATTCTGTCTTTTGTTGGGAGGCTCCTTGCTGGACAAAATCTCCAGGCGTTCTAGCTGGCTGAATATCTGGTATGCTTGCTTGGGTTTCGTTTTCTACTAAGTGCACAGACTGCTGTCTGCCATCTCCCGGTGTCCCATGTGAGACTGGATCTGGTGGACCTGTTTGTGCATTTGTTGGTACAGCGGTTCCATGTCGCCTGCCCAGCTGGGTCTGGCTCCGGCTTCCTCTGAACTTGAGTCTGCTTCTTGAGTGTGTCCCTTATGAATGCGAGGAGTTGAAATCTGCAGTTTGTTGGGTTATGCTGCAAAAGCGCAGGTGGTTCCTTTTGTGCCTCTGGCACAGCTTGGGCGGGGATGTAAATTGAGTAGGGCGGGATCTCAGGGAGTCACCAGGGCGGAGCAGACAGCAATGGCGTCTCCGCGGCTTCTTGCCTCTCGGGACTCCTCGACTCCACGTCCCGAGTGCTGGTAAGCAGTGAGCAGCTCCAGGGGAGAGAGCCACCCTCGCTTTCCGACCGGCTGCATGGCTATCCTGCCTCTCCCTGTAGGGGTCTGTGACCTCAGAATCCCGCCCCAAACAAGCTCAGTGGATTCCAGAGTTTGTAACCCCTTCCGATTGATAAAAAAACTTTTCTTGAGTGTTTCCCTTATGTATGCTAGGAGTTGAAATCTTCAGTTTCTTGGGTTATGCTGTAAAAGCTCCGGTGGTTCCTTTTGTGCCTCTGGCACAGCTTGGGCGGGGATGTAATTTGAGTAGGGCGGGTCTCAGGGAGTCCCCAGGGAGGAGCAAACAGCAATGGTGTCTCCGCAGCTTCTTGCCTCTCCGCAACTCCGTGACTCCACGTCCCCAAGTGCTGGCGCGCAGCTCCTCGAGAGAGCCACCCTCGCTTTCTGACCCGCTTCATGGCCGTCCCGCCTCTCCCCGTAGGGGTTTGGGACCTCAGAATCCCGCCCCAAACAAGCTCAGTGGATTCGAGAGTTCGTAACCCGTTCCGATTGAAAAAAACCGTGCATCCAGTTGCAGCCCGCCTGGCGAGCAACTCCGTACCTCTGCTCTTGGCGCCTCTGCATATCCTACTCAGTCTCAATGCGCTTCTTTCTTTCCTTCCAGTTGTAGAACTTCCACTGGGCCAGCTTTCCCATGGTTCTGAATGATAGCTGTTTGTCTTATAGTTGGTAGTTTCAATGTTGTTGTGGGAGGCAGCACGCACAGGTCTATACCTTACGCCGCCATCTTGGTTCTCTCTAAATATTATTTTTAAAATATGTTTTTATTTATTTTAGAGAGAGAGGAAGGAAGAGAGGGCAGGGGGGAGAGAGAGAGAGAGAGAGAGAGAGAGAGAAAGGGAGAGAAAGAGAAACATTGATGTGAAAGAGACACATCAATAGGTTGCTTCCAACATGCACCACAATTGGGGCCTTGAATCAAACCTGCAACCCAGGCATGTGCCCTTGACCAGGAATTGAACTCGCAACCCTTCTGTGTGCTGGCCAACAATCCAACCACTAAGTCATACCAGCCAGGGCTGTAGTTATTCATTTTAAAAAATAATTTTCTTTTAGAAATTATATTTAAACATTTATGGATAAAATGATATGATGGCTGGGAATTGCTTCAAAATAATCCAGGAAGTGCAAAGTGGGAGAAGATAGATATACATGAAATAAGTGTTGAAGCTGCAAGGTGGATACATGAGGGTTCATTTTATTATTCTCTCTAATTTTTTTGGACAGCCCTGACTGGTGTGGCTCAGTTGGTTAGAGTGTTATCTCATGTACTGAAAGGTTGCTGGTTTGACTCTGAGTCAAGATACATACCTAGGTTGTAGGTTGGATCCCTGTGGGAGTGTGTATGGGAGGCAACCAATTGATGTTTCTCTCATACATCAATGTTTCTCTCTCCCTTTCTCTCTTACTTTCCCTTTCTCTAAAATCAGTATACACACACACACACACACACACACACACACACACACACACGTCTGGTGAAGATTAAAAACAAAAAAATAATAAATATTTTGGACAATATCCACAATACAAGCTTAAAAATAGTGTTGGGATAAAGTTGGACAAGATAACCACAGTACAGAGAGTCTAGAACACAAGCCGAGGGGCTTAACCTGAACTTCTAGGATTCAAGAAGGTAGGTCCTACCTTGTAGAGAACCTGCCAGTCGCTGACCTTGGTGTGGGACAACTTCATGCGTTTCAGAATCAGCTAGTCAGATAAGGATAGTCAGACAGGGGACAACGACTGTTTGCCCTCTCCCACCCGAATGCCCTTCAGGAAGTGCAATGTCCTGGATCGACCCTCAACCTCCCCACCTCCCTGCCCCCAACCCTGGGCTCACAGGCACGTTCTTGATGTGACCCAGCAACCGATGCAGCATCTGAGCCATGTCTAGATTCTGGGGTAGCAGGAAAAACTGGATGACGTCCAGACGAGAATTTAGTTCCCCCAGGTCATGAGTTGGACGTGTGAACCACAGCCTGGAAGTGAAGGTTGGGGTGAGGAGACCTGAAATTACATCTGCTCTCATCATTGTCGTGATCTCAATTTGTGAAAATGTGTTTGCAGGTCCCTGACGATTGTGGCAATATGTATCTGTACTGGCAAGTACAGTGTTCTATCTATGCAGGGGTGTTTACATGCACCTACTGAACCTCTCTGGATATGAGCAAAACTGTGTCTGTGTATCACAGTTTTGATGGATAGGACCATGTGTGTCATTCCATGTGGGTATGTTACAGAGCTTGTCAATATTTTAGAGGGAGGGTGGTATGTTGAAGCATTTGTATGACAACAATCTAGCTTTCTTGGTGGCTGAGTAGGAGAGGATGAGTCAGAATGAGTTTGCATAGCTGTGAAAGTGTCTCTGGTGTAATAGCACAGGCATTCATCTTTTCCTGTTCTTCCTGTTTAAGTATATAATTGTCCCATGTGTAATGATTTAATTCCTCAATTCACAATAATGGTCTTCTCTACAGAGAATAAAGGATTGGGGAGGGACATCTAAGGGGCTTCAATAACACTGTCTAATTTTTAGATTGACTGGTGGAAACACAGAAGTTTATAATATTACTAGAGGCCCGGTGCACAAAAATTTGTGCACTCGGGAGGGTGGGGAGGGGGGTCCCCCAGCCCGGCCTGTGCCCTCTCGCAGTCTGGGACCCCTCGGGAGATAACGACCTGCCGGCTTAGGCCTGCTCCCGGGTGGCAGAGGGCAGACCCAATCCCTAGGTGCAGCCCTTGGTCAGGCTCAGAGCAGGGCCGACTGGGGAGTTGGGGCGCCGCC